TCAATGCCTTTTTGCTTTGAGACTGAAAGCAGCTGTTTAGTTCTTGATACCTTCTCTGCTTTTAGAAACAAAACAAACCAAAAAAGAAATGATGCTGCAGGACAGAGGAAACTGGAAAGATTCTGGGGAGAAGGAAGGAGCAGAGAATACAACCGTAGCTTAGAAGGACCAGCTTCCTTCAGCTGACATCAAGCTGTGTTTGATAATATTTTCAAGCATTGCACAGTACCCTGTGTATCATCTCGAAGGAAGCCTATACCCCACCAACAGCACGTTTTACTCTTTTCCAGGAGGCTTCCTTTTCAAAACATAATGTTTGAAAGCTGGGAGTTTAGATTGTTAATATTTTGGATGATGGCTCCATCACTGCCTGTTACTGATTCACTGATTTTGGGAAGTGTGATAGTTGGGATGAATCTGATCCAGACTAATTTTGCATTATTTTAACTTAACTGATCTTAATATAAGAAGTCAATTCTGTAGGATTTCTGATGTCATTCAAAAACAGTATTTTGGAAGATATTATGTATTAGGTTATTCTCAATATATTTTTCTTCTACCCATAACAAGGGAGATCCAGATTTCAGGTCTGATTTTTAAGCAAAATAGTTTTGTTAACCAGGGTTTTGGGTTTATTGGTTTTGGTTTTTTTTAAACTTAAATCCAGGGAGGCTACCTGATAGAAATACTGGTTTTATTACACAGGTCTTCAGCTGGATTTGTGATTCTCTCTTTTTTCAGAGACTTCTGTATGTAATAATAGAGATTAATTTTTTTATCTTGTGGGTTAGCAAACATATGATGAAAATCCTTCTCTTAGTAGCAGACACATTAAATTCAGGTATGTTTTATTGAATGTTGTTAAACCACTGTACATTTGAAAGCATTTGTACCTCCCACTTTGGATGTAAAACTTTTTCTGGGGTGTCTTAAATATATCAGCAACCAGTGTTAAAGTAAATAATTTTTATATTGAACTTGGATAATTAAGACTTCATGAAAGAGTGTATACTGAGATGAGGCAGGGCTATTGAAGAGGTTGTCATGTAAATACAGAAAAATACAGAAACTAGCAAGCAAGATGAAACAAGTTCATGTAAAAATAAACCAGGAGTGATCTCCTGTTTTAAAAACAGAACAGTCCATGTCTAAAAGAGAAGTGGAAGGAGAGGAGCCAGAATAATTGTTTGCTTTTAAAACAGGTGGTTATTGGTGCCGGGAACTTCTGAATCTTTTTTAGAAGACTGTATAATAAGTTTAAAGAATCTGCAGTACCTGTACAGAGATTTATGAGCTTATGTCTGTAAAACTTGACAGTTGTCAGGATGTGAGAATTACTTTGTAGTCTGATGGTGATGGCTGTCATCATCAGAGGAAGGGATGGTCCTTTAAGTTGGGCTGAAACCTGAGCCAGTGAAGGTGTTGGCTCTGTGAAGTTAGGAATGACAGTAAGCTCATGTCTGAAGGTGTTTTACATTCTAGTTAAATGACAGTTCAATTGGTAATTTGTTTGTTACTAATACTTTTGAGTAAAGTATGTTCCCTTTCACAGTTTTTTGCTGTGGAGTGAACAGGTAGATGATCAGTAATTTGAAGGTGGGTCTGAAAAACTGCTTAGGGGCTGGTGCAGGCAGAGTTGCTCTAGCTTGACTTAAAACTGAATGAAGTGTATAGCAGTTCTGAAACTGAAAAAGCAAGGAAAATGGAAATATATTTGTCTTGTATTATAAAATTCAAAGGGATTTTTTTCTGTGTCTCCAAGTATTTCAGTAGGCTAACAAGCACTATCAGTTTTGAATCAGAAATTTGGACAAAATGGTTAGGAATATTTGCGTGTTGTGACACAGCAGATTGAGAATAGTTGTGTGTAAGGACCTTAGCCAAATTATTTTGTAGAAAGTGAGTATGACTTTGCAGACTCATTATTATGTTTTGGAATCTACATAACTCTCACAGCATGTTGTGTTTCCGTGGGAGTTTTTTTGTAAGGGAAAGAAAAAGGCACAGTAGTAGCTACTGGACTTTTTTTTATGAATAAAGTAACATCTGAAAACTTGTCAGAATCATGTGGCTTGCCTCAGATTTATAGAAACATTAATAAAAACCTACTAGCATTATGTGGAATCTGTATGCACTGAAATTTTCTTCTCTTCTTGCTGGAGGAGCCAAGTGATTTCTTTATTGATAAGTATAGTGTGGTTTTTCAATTATCTACTCAAGAACTGCTGACTGGTTCAGTGTTCTAGCAAAATCAGCTTCAGCAGGTTATTAGTGCTGCTTTGGTGACATCCTCATCTCAGTGGTTAAAGAGCAAGGAGAAATTCTGTTACTTGTCATACAGCTCCATTCACTCCATGCAATTATAGCATTCTTTTCATTAGAGGAATATTATTAGATGTAGCAGTAGTTTTTTTAATTGGATTTAGTTATAAAGTAAGAAAAGAAAAGTTTTAAATAAAACACCGTAGTATGAGTATATGGTTTATTGCAATATTCAGGGGGAAGCAGGAAGCTGCAAGAAGTGAATGAAGGGGTTCACAGGTGGAAATAGATGCCATGAAGCAACAAGGAATAGCATGCCAGAAGAATTGGCTTGCATGCTTCATTTACCCATCTTTTATAAAATGTCATTGAGATGCATTGCATTTTATCTGATCCCTGGCAGTCATTCCAGCCAAGCAGGTGTGCCATTTATCATGGTGCCGATTAAAAAAAGACTGTACTGTTCAAGTTAATTAGAAATTTTAACATGTGTGGAAAGTTGAACATTGTTTTTTAAAAGATGAACCATGATATCTGCATTTTAAGTTCATAAACCTAAAAACCTTATATCAACTATTTTTTTAGTGTCAAAAATACTTGCTTATATGTCAAATGTTCCTTTTCTGCTCATTCTTGTGTCATTCCAAACTTTGCCATATTCAATGGGTATATATTCTGCTGTTCACAGGCAGCCTCTAAATAGTTTAATTCTCAAGAAAATATGTATGGGAAGAAGCTCAGAGAAAATTTCCATTCCCTCCTTCCCACTTCCCTCTCCCCCTCCCCCAAATTGCTAATCCTTTCTAGTTAAAATTTGTTTCTAGAGTGTGATCAAATACTTGTAATTGACCTAATGAGAATGAAAGCAGCATAACTGAGAATTGAAAGCAGAATAATGGGGAGTACAAAGAGTTTTAGTTATCTGTTGAGGCTTGCTCTGGTTTTAAAATCTTTTTGTCTTTGATATCTAATTAACACTTGGGAGCAGATGTCTTCGTGAGGACACTGTAGACCTCCAAAATGAGAATGAGTTCAAGTCTGAAACTGGGTGTCAGGCTGATAAGAGGGATTCCTTTGCAGTTTATAATTTATAATTTTTCCAGTGTACTCATTGCTCTGATGAACCAAAGAGTAACAATGAATTTATGAAAGAATTTGGGAAATTTTATTTTTTTTTTGGTATCTTGGGTAGACATCTGGTAAAGGATGCATTACACTGTGAGCCTCAGCTGTAGAATTCAAAATGATAGCAGATAAATGCAAGCTACAACTTCAAGTTCCAAGTATGGGCTTTCTCTACTGAAAAATTGAGTTTCGCTGGATGATTTCTTACTTGGAATCAAATATTCTTAAAGTATTTTACCACTTGAAAGTACTCTCATAGAGTGTGTTTTTTCAATTAGGTTGAATATGTGAAGAATAGTGAAAGCTGTATTTGTTGATGCAGCTATAAGCACAAATATGCTAATGACTATGCGTATAAGGAAAAAAAGTAGGATTTTTATAGAAAAAAGATCAATTACTCTGTGCAAACAGTTACATGTTTAAGTGAAGTATCATGTTATATTATTATTGTTTGAAATATTTGGCCATTGGGCTTTTGGTCCATGAACCATATAAGTGCACTACTTTGAGTAGTACAGCCCATAATAAGATACAAATGTTAATTCTCAACTCCTGTCATATTTTTGCCCTTTACTGACTTCATTTGAATAATTTAGTCTGTGGGCCATTGAGTTAAGTTGAACTATAGAAAGGAAATGGTACAAAATTAACAGTTTAGGCCAAAATGTTGCTTTCAGAACTGACTGTTTTACTGAGTTCTGTATTTGCTATGTTTATGACCATGTGGTTACTTAAATGTCAAAGGTTTTTTTCAAATGTTACTAAAACCACCTACAACTTCAGGGTAGATTATTCATCTCTACAGTAAAACATAAATTGAAATTAATAAAGAGGTATTTTGGTAATTCTCCTAATTTTTGCTATTAGTGTAAATTGTAGTTCTCATTGGTTATTTGCTTATCCTTAGGCAAGTCATAATTTAACGTGGAAGAGTATCATCAATTCTCATAACTGTTGACTAGCTGGTTTCATTAGTTTGTTTAGTTAGATGGTTTTTCTCTGGTAAACGCATCTTGATGGATGTATTCACCTCCATATGGAATTTACAGTCTTTGAAGATGTAAACCACAATATTCAAGATCCAAATTAATTCAGACAGGTTTTTTGCAGTAGCGTAGCTGTGTTACTGGGTTATGGCCTAGTCAAGGGAGTCTGCCAAACATGAATTTTGAATGATGCCCTGAAATACTTTTCCATACATAGTTTCAATCTAAAGTAAGTGCTACCTGCATGTTAAAGTGGCAAATGTGTTTTTTTACTTGGCCATAAATGACTGTGGTGTCCTGTATCAGAACTGATTTTTCTTCATCTTTTAGTGTATAGAATCATCTTGGTTTCTCTGTATTTCTTTTTGGACAAAGGCATTTTCCTTGAATAGAACTGTAAGGATTCGCCTCCCTGAAACTTGTTTCAGCCTTGAGTGTTCTTTGTAAAAACTGCTAATTTGTTGAAGCTTTCTATGTTGACATTTCCCAGGCTCTAATGTTGAACCATAAATAAGCAGTTTACTAGCAAATGATTGCAGTAGTAGCATATAATCTGCTTTGATGTGCAGGCTTCTAAGTGAAATATTTCTCTATGGAAAAAAGATTTCTTTTCCTTTTGTTCTACAGCTCCTGGAAGGAAGCTTTGCCAGAGAAGTTAGCCATGAAGTGGATGGACTGATATTTCAGCCTACAGGAGTAAGTAGTGTAAAAATGGATTTTTCTCCCTTCACTCTCAAATGAAATTCTCACCCTCCCTCTCCACTCATCATTCCATCTACTACCTAATCTTTGTTTTGGTCAGGATTACTTTGCAGTGTTGGTTCTGATTTTTCCAGTTCCTCAGACTACTGAAATTCAACTGGTTGCAATCTAATTTGTATTATGTGTGACTCTGGATTAATCCATGGTGGTAGTTTTCAGGAATCAGCTCATGGTTTTTTCCTGTGTGTACTATCATGTGCTGCTAAATAAGGGAGGATTTTTTTCTGACTGCATGAGTTCTGTGAACCTTTCAACCATTGATTTGAGCTCTTGGATTACTTTTCTTTCTCAAGGATGTTCATATGTTAAAATTCTAGTAAAATTTGTGACTCATGTTTTTTTAGTGCAATTAAGGCATGATATATTCTTGAACCATGTCTGCCAGTATAAAGGTATATGACTGGGCTGGGGAGAAGTCACCAGAAGAACTGCAGACAACCAGAAAAACTAATGTAAATGGTTCTCAAGCAGGAAAGGTGGCTTTAAAGGAAGTCAGTAGCATGGCCTCGTCCATCCTACTACTGCTCCTGTTGACTCGATACAATGGATACACTGCAATGTGTATTGTATATTGGCACAGATAGTGACTGTAACATCATCCATGTTGACTTTTTTTTTGGCTTGTAAAACAAGGAATTGATTTTGATTATTATTTTAAATTTGACAAATATTTCTTTCTTTACAGTTACTCACAGAAAACATTTGTATTTAGTTTTCCAGATAAAACAGGTTTTTTCTGGTCTACCTCCTATATTGTAGATCTTAGCAAGGGTGATGACACTCTCATCTGGAAATAAGATTAACTTCTCTGTTGAAAGTTCTACATCAGCTAACCACAAACTAACTGAGCAATTAGACCACTTCCCCCCCAGTATATAGCTATTTTGAATTCAAAGCAGAACTACTAGGGTAAAGAAAATTCATACTTTCGTAGGAAGTACTTATGATGTCTTGGAATGCTGTTAAAATCTAAAGCAATTGTAAAGGCATCTCAGAACTATTTTCCTGAATATTAGAGGTTAAGCTATGCAGAGTTACTACAGCTAAATTTGAAATTACCTTTTCTAGTTGAAATGACTTTACCGAAGAATATCTCTTTGCTGTTGTTACAGGAAATTAATATCTGATATGTTTTGTGTTTCTAGAACTTGTGTTTTCTGATTTAGCATACTGAGAAATTTATAACCCAACAAAAAACTAATTTTGTTGCATAAATGCTTATAAAGGGTTTTCATCTTTAAAATATGGGGTAGATTTGTTTAGTCTAATTTAATGTTCAAATTTCAGGGTTTATGGAATGTTTATTGCACCTGTTATTAAACTGACTTTCCTGGATTAAGCAATGTGCAGTTTTCTCAATGGCTTTTGTAGTTGAGAAAATATAAATAGTATATTTAGAGCAAAAGAAATTATTGTAGACCTATTAATTGGGAAATAAGAATTAAAGCTAATTAACTGAAAAGGGTGAAACTGATATAGATAGCTGATACTGCTTTTTTATTTTATGTGGGGGCATAAATTAATAGGCAACAATACAAGGGCAACGGAGTATAAGGATGCATAAATGAACCCTTGAGAATACTGACTGAAATAATTTTTGGTTTTGTAGTATAGTTGCAGTTATATGTGTGATGTATTACATCTTTTCACAGAGAAAGACACCTATTGTTGATCGGGCTAGAGGCCTGAATTTTGGTCATTGTGAGACTTAGACCTTTATAAAACCAGTTTGTCTCAAGTGAAGAGACCCATCTCATATCCAGCAGAAAACAATTCTTAACAACCATTTTTATTGACATATTTGATCTTGCAGGAAAAGAGACAGACAGAAATGATGCTGAGTTTTAGAAGATCAGGGAAGTTTAAGAACATCTTTTGGGAAGTCCTGAAGTCTCATGTGTGTTTTGAGGAGAAAAAAGCAAAAGTAGATAGGAACTGGAGCAAAATCACAAAGAAGGATAAAGTAGCAGCAGAGGAGGATGAATGGAATGTGACCATTTACAGACAGGAAAATTTTAAGGGGAAAAATACCCACACTTTCCATACTTTTAGCAGTTAAAGCAGAATGCAGAAGTTAACTATTTAATGTAAAGAATGTTGAGCTTATTAGTTCTGTCTGTTTTGAAAATCTTTTCTGTTTTTCTCCCCCCACCCCCTGGATTTACTCAGAGGTGTTCCTCTTGCTCTCTGGTCTTAAACACAGGCATCTAGACCTGAGTATATGGATATATATACAGGCAACACTGGTACTGGGAGTCAACACAGGTGGAGAAAGAATATTATATTTTTTTGAAGTTCATTTTAATTCTGACTTATAATAAAAATCAAAGCACCTGAAATGATTTGTGGATAGGAATTATGCTTTTAGCCTCTAAGAGCTCTGGATTTTCTTACTTTTCTCTTGGGTTTGAAGAGATTTGGCATCAAGTGCCTGTGAATTAATTCAGTTTTGAGAAATCAGCATGTTTTAATGAAAAGGGATTTGTGAAAAAGTTTTACTACCAAATCTAGGGTTTCAGTTAAATATAATAGGGTTTATTTTCTTCTGCTAGTCTTCCTATCTAAACTCATATTATGAATAGCAAGGTTCTTGTACTGAAGCAGAAATTGTTTTGCACTGCGACTGGTGATGGTAGAAACAATGTTAAGGAGTAAGGAGATTGTTTTCTGCCTGTGCAGGTTATTTTATTTTTGCAAGGTCATGCTGACTGAGCATTATTATTCCTAACTAATTCACCAGTTACTTGAGTTACTTGTATACCCTGGGCAATAAAAAAATGTAAGTGCTTTAATTTCACGGTGACAGTTGAAAGCCAATGGCTGAGGCCTCCCTTCTTCTTCCCCCTTCCTCCCTTTCCAGAGACTGAAAGCTTTCACAGGTCATGAGAAGAGCACGTTTAGTGGAAATGATGGAGGTTTTTGTTTCGTTTATGATTCAAGAATGCTTTGTAGGTGATTTGATGTGATGTGTGCTTCATAGTGCCCCCCTCTGCATCCCCTGCATTAACCTACCATTCTCTAACAACTCCATGGTGAGAGACAAATACAAGACAATGTTTTCTTACTATTGTTTCTCTTCTTCCCTTTGTACTCTTTTCCTTTCCTCTTTTCCTTTTCATGCATCCTCTCTATCCAATAGCCTGTTTCCCACATTCCTTTTGATTTCCCTTTTATGTCACTTCTCCCAAACGCTTCTTTTCCCTGCATCATTCTCTATCCATTTAAGATGCTACCGATATAACTCCCATACGGCTAAGTCAGCTCCATTCCATCTGATCAGCTTTCTGATCCCTCTACATGTAACAGGTTGGCAGAGCAGGGACCGAAGCTAAGTGCTAATTAGAAGGAGTGAAACAGGCCAGCAGGAAACTTCACGGACAGGTATGTCACCCTGGGATCATGCCCCAGACAATGAGTGAATTAGTTTGAAGGTAAAAGCCAAACACCTTATTCACAGATTCTGAATGCTTGTGTAAAGATTGGAAGCTTTCAATCCTTTTTTTCTAAAGATTACTTCCAAACAGTGAACAACTTCTTACATTTGTTTTAGAACACTTGCAGTTTGCCAACCTGTGTGTTTTTAATGGAAATCTCAAAAATGGTCTCTTATCTTCTGATGGCAGAATTGGCTCTCTGACCTATGCCCACTCATCAGTGAAATTACTTTTGTTATCTGCCTTGTAAATCATACCTTTGCTAGATATCTCAGACTGTCTAATTTTTATGCTAGCAATCTCTTAATAACTGACTTTCTTGCTGGCTAGAACTATTATTTTCCCTTGCTTGGGAAGAGGATGTAGGAATTATTTTCTTACTTCAGCCACCTAAGAGAAGGCTTGCTGGCCATCAGTTAGAAAGGCCTAAGGACAGGTTTTGAGCATCTGTGGAAAGCTTGTATCAGAATTTATTCTCTTCTGTTCCATCTTTTTGCCTCCTGAACTCTGTGATGTTATTGTGTTGGCTCAGGCTGATTTCTGTTTGGTACTTCTCCATGCTCTTATTTTGGATGAGGTTAAAGTCCAATTGTGTGGGTTTGGGATTTTTCTGGGGAATGAAGAAAGGCAGCTGCTGAGCTCTGTTCTTCTAAGATAAATGTTATTTTAAAGAATGGTTGAATTATTTAACACATAACTCTCCATACTGAATACTAACAAAAAGCTTAGCCTTTAAAATGAAAGGAGAATAATGAACAGGTTTTTATTACTGGCTAATATTGCATGAGTTTTTAATATATCTTCCTTCCCCTCCCTTGGCAGACTTAGTGGTGATCTGAAATGCTTGGTTGCCTGCTAATTATTTGTGCTATTCCCGTTTGATAATAGGCTGTATTATTTTCTGTGATTGTAAAAGTTCACCCCAAATCACTGAAGTTAACACTGAATGAAATATCTCCAGAAGATACCACCAAATAAAATATCTCTGAAAGGCCATGTTTTGTTTCATTAAGTAGTGCCAGTTTCTCCTAAATAATCCTACATAATTGGTAAGCCTTTTCTTCCAAACAGTATGTGTTTTATCAAATGGTCTGTGAATTTTTAACTGCCCGCCAAGTTAGTTGCTGGCATATTTTTGAAACTCAGACATGATGTTTACCAGTGATGGCGCGTCAGTTATTGTTAAATATTTCTATTGCAATAGCAAGTAATGGCTTCAGATAGGCCATGATAACATAAATTCTTGCTGCTAACAAACATACAAGTTTCTGGATTTCGCTTTCTAATTTTGTAGTGATTCTTATTTGGAGGTAATGGAAGAGAATAGACTATCTCACTTGGAGGGGACCTGCAACAATCATCTAGTCCAACTGCCTGAGCAATTTAGGGCTGACCAAAAGTTAAAGCAAATTATTAAGGGTATTGTCCAAATGCCTCAAACACTGACAGGCTTGGGGCATCGACCACCTCTCTAGGAAGCCTGTTCTAGTGTTTGACCAC